GGGAGGGGGATTTTTCCACAAACTCTTTGAAGAACCCATGGTTTGTATTTCATATAAATAATTGCAGTAAAAAAAAAAAAAAAAAAAGGGGGAGGGGGATTTTTCCACAAACTCTTTGAAGAACCCATGGTTTGTATTTCATATAAATAATTGCAGTAATATTCCAGATTTTTTATAGTTTTGAATTAATATCTCCTTCTTAAATACATGATATTGTGCTAGACCAACAAATCAATGTATTTTTAATCAATGATTTTTGAGGGCTACTATAAATATCCCACAAACAAAAAATCTATAGAGTAAGCAATAATTGTCCATGATTCCTTAGTTGTGAAAAGACTGCCTAAGGTTATACTTGCTAGCACAGTCTCAGATTTTACTAAATAATTTTTTTTCACAAATCACATTTTTCTACATTCTGATAATCAGGTATGATCTAAAACCTTGATCTTTCTGTTGACTTCAAGTTTAACTGTGGATCATTAGTCTCAATCATAAGTTCTGATGTGGCACTACAGGATAATCACTGAACTGTTTACTGCAAGCTTGGCGATGCAAACCTATCAGCCACTCCCTGGAAATCCTACAGAGGGTCATTATGAGTTAGAGTCAACTTGAAGGCACTTCACAACAACAACACTAGAAGTCTTAATCAACAAGTGCTGGTGGTATTGTGGGTTAAGTGCAAGGCTGCTAACAGAAAGGTCACAGTTCAAACATACCAGTGGCTCCATGAGAGAAAGATGAGGCAGTAGGCTTTCATAAAGATTTATAGGTTTGGAAACATTACAGATTAGTTCTAGCCTTTCTTGTAGTGTTGCTATGAGTTGGAATTCACTTGAGACAGCAGTGAATTTGGTCTCAGTCAAGGCGTCTTGGAAACACAGTGGTTAAAGCAATTGGCTGCTAACCAAAAGTTAGTGGTGCAAACCCACCAACCACTCCATGGAAGAAAGATGCAACATTATGGGGCAGTTCTATCCTGTCCTATAGGACTACTATAAATTGCAATAAACTCAATGGCCGTGGATTTTGACTGGTCTCAACCAAAACTTTCTACATGAAAAAAAAAAAGACATGGTTTGTGAAAAGAATGAGAAAGAGTTACACCTACTTTTAAAACGCAAACCAAAACTAGCAATACAATTCTCAAAGCTTTCAGTTCAAGTCCAACCGTTTTGAAAAATACAAAAACAATCCAAACAAACTCTGCAAATAGTTCTTCTCCTTGACTGTCAAGCTAAATTGCGGATTTGTGTCAAATTAATTGATAAATAAGTAGTTAAAACTAATGTATTTATTATGTGTGTTGATCAATTTTTGTAAATAGAGGAAATGCCAATAAATTTTGGCTTGACTCTTTCGGTTATTGCCTAATACAAAGCAAACTTAGATTCTTACTTTATGGAAAGACAATCTGGTAATTTCACACCCTTTAAAGGTTCTTCATCATGGCTTCTGGATTAAGGAGAGTCACTGAATATCCATTGGAAAAAGAGCAGAAACCAGTAAGTTTTCTGATGAAAAGTATCATAATTACTACTTGGACCTTTTGTAAGTATTAGGTATCTCCTACATCCTCAAGACAACCATCAGTATTGTGCCCCAGAAAACGGCTTTCAAGGCAGTCCAATAACTCTTTAATCTATAGCCCCAGAGGTTATGGTTGTCAGAGATTTCTAAAAACTTTTCTTCAGTAAATTACTAGGGCTCAAACACTGAACAGTGTCCATTTCCAAAGTAATCACCACAAATTTTCACCTGTATGTTTTGAATGTAATTTAACATTCACTAGATTATTGAGAGAATTGGGTGGGAAATAAAGGAAAAAGGAGAATGAAGCAGAAAGAAAAGATACAGTCAATGTCAACAAAGGTCTTAATAGGCTACAAAGCTACAACAATTTAAAACTGAAAAAGTTCAGTTGGATTTATGTCCTTAAAAAGCTGATACTTTCTTTCTACCTGTCACCTAAAAGAACACCAGGCCTCAACAGGGATAGATTACAGAAAAATCCTGAATCCTAGTGATAAAGACGCCATCAATATAAATTAAACTTTGACTTACTCTCTTAATAAGTACTCAGCGTTCTGGTGTAGCGCTATAGGATAAACACTGGACTACTAACCACAAGGTCAACAGGTCAAACCCACCAGCCACATCTTGGAAACCCTATATAGGGTCACTATGAGTCAGAACTGATTCAAAGGCACCTAACAACAACTGTATGCATTCAACCGTGTGCTGAAACTATCTGAAGTGACTCCAGAAAAATTCAGGCTGGGGTAAGGAGGAAGCCAGGTAATTACAAAAAAGCAACAGTAGAGATGAACTTCTTATCCTCACTCCATAGATAGAGTCGAAAGCAATTACATGATCCTAGGGCCATGAGGTTACCATCTTCTACTTTCTATCTACATGTGTCTATATCCTTTGCTATTGAAGGAAGGTAAAATCAGTGGTTCAAACACACCAGCTGCTCCTCGGAAACTCTCTACAAGGTCACTATGAGTCAGAACTGACTTGTATTTACTCCTTTGCTTTCAGACTTTTGGACCTGCTTTCTTATACTGCCTTAAGTACTTGTTACCTCCTTCTCTACCTGAATTGATGGCACTCAACAACTAAACACAGGGAGAGGAATCCAGGGCTGGGCAAAGCCGATGCACTTGGTTGCTAACCAAAAGACTGGCAGTTCAAATCCACCCAGGGGTATCTCATAAAAAAAAAAAAAAAAAAAAAAAGATCTGGTGACCTGATTCTGTAAAATTACAAGTGAAAACCAGATGGCACACAGCTCTACTCTGACATATACTGGATTTCCATAAGTGGAATCAAAGCAACACAACTGATTTTTGGTTTTATGTTAAGAGAAGATAGGCCAAAAATTTCTGCTAATTGATGTCCATAAATAAATACTGAGCCCTACAATATTCTAAAGGACTACAGCTGTTTAAGTGAAATCAATAGATATGTAACAAGTAAATAAATGAGTGGGCACGTTCTGTACTTACAAAAGAACATGAGCAACGATGGCATTCACATCAAATAAGGTATCAGTAGGGAATTCCCTGAGTAAGATGTTGCCCCTATAAAGAAATTTTAAATGCATTAGAGAAATTATTCCTCAGAGTTCAGTTTATTTATCATATGGTATACTAGGAAGTACGTTCTTCTTGACTACCAGAATGCTGGCACATAATACACATGCAAATATTCACAGAATACACATGCAAAGAATACACAAGAAATAGGGTGACTTATAAAAGGCTGGGTTCCTGGTGTGGCACTGGAGGATCATAAATGAACTGCAAATCACAAGGTCAGCAGTTCAAACCTACCAGCTGCGCCTAGCAAATCCTATAAATCACTATAAATCGGAACCAACTCGACGGCAATTAACAACAACTGAAAAGGTTAGGGCCTGGGTCTTGTTTTAAAAAGAAAAAAAATTGGGAGACTACAGGAGTCCAAAGGAAGCTTTTTACCAACCTCCCTGGTACATACACACACAGATTCCTCAAACTGGGTGGAAAGGGAAGAAGTAGGAGAAAAAAATGATGTTTCCTCAACAGTAGGTATCTGAGGAAAGAGGATCTTTCTCCATTACTAAACAAAATTCCAAGGGTAGGAAAAGGTTTGAGAACCTTCAGACATTAGTGAATTCCTTAAAAAAGAAGGGGGATACTTATTTCACAACCAAATATGAACCGGACACATCCACTCCTAACAATTTACTTAGCACTTACTTAACAGGCATTTACAATAAAAGTTCAAAGAAGAGATTCATTTAATATTCAAAACAATGTTGTGAGATAGGTATTATTCTTCTCATTTTATAGATCAGCAAGTTAAAGTGAAGACAGATGAGGTAACAAATATAACATCTATTACTTGGACTTTTGCTAAGCTTCATACTACCCTATGACACACAACCTTGGAGTCCTGGTGTGGTGCTATAGGATAAACTGCTATACTGCAAGATCAGTGGTTCAACCCCATCAGGGGCTCCTCAGAAAGCCTATACAGGGTGACTGAGTCAGAAGTGACTCAACAGCATTTAACAACAACAAGAAGCAACCTTATTCTAGCCTAGTGAGATTTCATAGTATTTAGGTACTGTGGAGTTACAGCTTTGTATTTCTGATAATCAAATTAACAAAGGAAAAAATTAGTTTACCTGAATAAATATGCTTTCATCAAATCATTTCCTTTCCCACAGTATCTTGATGTTTCTTCTTGGATACAATTAACCTTTAAAAGATTATGTCAAAATAGTAACATTCAACGTTTATTTAAAATATACATCCTTATATGTTAAAGTACATTATCAAAAAATAAAGTTTTTGAGCTAGAAAAACAAGAAGGTGAATTAAACATTACAGCACATCTCCAGGTCAAAACAATTATTTTTTGGGATTTGTATCCTGTAATTTCTCACTTATTTAAGTATATTTTATTACATAATGCATTTAATCTTACAGAACATGTTAAGCAGGAGGCAACCAGGTAGAGAAGGAGGTACCAAGTATTTAAGGCAGTACGAAAAAGCATGACCAAAGTCTGAATGCAAAGGAGTAAATACTATGATGGGACCATGAAAGCTTTGCATACCTCTGGAACAGAGACATGGCAGATGGTACTGATTTCTTACCCGATATCCATCCTCCTCTCTGTATTTCTAACAGAACTCAGTAAAAACAAGGGCCCCATTAAAAAACTCTCCTACCTTCTCCAACAAGTCTTGGTGTGTTACTGTAGGACTGTAGCACAGAACTGCTGACTACAAGGTTGGTGGTTCAAACCCACCAGTCACTCCTTGGAAACCATACACAGGGTCGCTATGAGTCCGAAGTGACTCGACAACCCTTAACAATAACAATCTTCCACCCCCCAACCCACCCCCCAAAAACAAGTCCTGGTAGCATAGTGGGTTCCGAGTCGGGCTGCTAACCACAAGGTCAGCAGTTTAAATCTCCCAGCCGCTCCATGGGAGACAGATGAAGCTTCCTGCTACCATAGAGATTTCCAGTCTCAGAAAGCAACTCGACGAAACAATAACCACCAACAATCATCCCCAACAGTTAGGGATGGAAAATGTGGGCAATGAGGCATCAGCAGAAGTCACTGGATTGGTATTTCCTAACTGAGTATTTACAAGGAGGTTGCCTTAGCCAAGAGGATACTCATTGTTTCCTCTTGTTGTTGTTGTTGTTGTTAAGTGCCATCGAGTCGGGTCCGACCCATAGCGACCCTGTACAGGGTTTCCGAGGGTGTAAATCCTTACGGGAGTAGAAAGCCTCATCTTTCTCCCGCGGAGCGGCTGGTAGTTTCGAACCGCTGACCTTAAGGTTCGCAGCCCGATTCGTAACCTCTACTTTCTAATAAAACAAGCATGATAGCTAGAGTGCCAACAGCAATCTTTGACATAAGAAGAAGCTACTTGTCTAAGATGGTACACAGAAATAAATGAACTAGAGTTCCTGATGATATGAGAATAGCTTTACAAGCCCTTGATACCTTATAATATGAATTCTGTGTGAGCAATAAAATAAAGGGGGGGATAGATAGCAACCTGGTACAACAGATAAAATGGAAAGCATAACAAAGCAAAGATAAAAGTGCAGGTTAAAAGAACATTGTATGTTCGGTGGGCTTCTGTGGACCCAGATGGGGACCTGGTTGGCCAGCAGTGTGGGGAGACCTGGGGATTCCTGGGCCCAGAGTCAGCGGCGTGGCCACAGAGGACTAGAGTGGAGAGTGAAGCTTCCAGCTGATATGAAGAGAGGGCATATGCACAAGAACACCCACACTTGCAGATGGTACCCACGTGACCTGGTCCTGATGAATGGATGATCTGAACTCAACCAGGAGAAGAAAGAAGAGGGGGAAAAAAAAAGAGTGCTCTGAGACAATTTGATGAACTTGACCTACACCTATGGATGCAGTAACCCCAAAGAGGGAACAAACCCTCACAGCAAGAAACATTCCCACCCCCTCCACACACAGAGTGCACAGAGATGGGCAACTTGGACATTGGATACCCAAATGGGGGGAGGGACTACAAAGACAAGAAGTGACTGGCTTATAAGCTTTCAAGAGGGAACCTAGAGCTAGGGGCATGGAGGAAGGCACAATCTCCAGTGAGTACTATCCAATCTGTCTAGGTGGAGCTGATGAAATGAAATGCAGAAGGGTCACTTGTGATACAATAGTGAATGATTGTTATCAGGACTGATTAGTGATTGTGAGGGTTGGAAATGTAAAGGTAGACGTTTGGTTAGCAAGGAAGGAAGTTATTAACTCTCCAGTCTAGGAGCGGAGATCTCTGGACCATCAACGGAGAAGAGCCGAGAGCGGGACCCTACCTAGAGAAGCAGTGAGGCCCAAGATGGAGGCAGAGACGATGACGTGAAGTGATGAAGCGGATGAGGTCTTTGGATCCAGAGAGGGAGAGGGACTGGGTCCTAAAAAATGGGGGAGCAGGGGGAGGGAGAGTGTAGGGGGTGGGTTTATAGGATATACCCTTTGGTCGGTTGATGATGCATGGTGGGGATTAGAACCATGGCAATGAGACAATATACGATGGAATGAATGTAAAACTAAAGTTCTCTCATGTAAAATATCATATAATTCACAATAAAACATGGAAAAAAGAACACTGTATTAATGTAGATCAGGGATGACCAGCACCTGGTATAAGCAGAAAAGGAAGAACACATTGCTTCAAGAGACTGTTCACAAATACAGTAAGTAACACTAGGGAGAGAAGATAGAGTGTATATATGCAAATAGAGGAAAGGGTTCCATCAACATAACAAACCAAAACTGAGGCTGTAAGAACAACTATTTTGCAAAAACAAGCTCAATGTGGATTAAAAATCTAAATGTAAAATCTAGAACTATAAAGATTAGCAAAGAAAAAATAGGGAACAACTTGGGGACTCTAATGCATGGCATAAATATACTATCAAACATTACTAAAAACACACAAAAAGAGAAGACAAAATAGAGGACAAGGAGCTCCTAAAATTAGACACATATGTGCATCAAAAGATTTTACCAATCAACAGAGTGGGAAAAAAAATTTTGCAATGACATTATCAGTCAAGGAACTAATCTTCAAACTTTATAGAGAATTACAACATCTCTACAAGAAAAAGACAAACAACCCAATTAAAACATGGGCACAGGACATAATCAGACATTTCACCAACAAAAACTTCAGGCAGTCACCAAATAAATGAAGAAATATTCATGATCATTAGTCATTAAAGATGCAAATCAAATCAACAATGAGGTATCATTTGACCCCAGCATTAATAGCAAAGCTCAAGAAATGCTAGATTGGGTTTGGAGAGACCTGGACCCTCCTACATTGCTGATGGCACGGGAAAATAGTTGAACTACTGTAGAAAAAGTTGTGATGCTTCCTCAGAAAGTTGGAAATAGAAATACTGTATGACCCAGAAATCCCTCTACTTGCTATATATTCACAAGAAATAAGATCTAGGACACGAGTTGGTAGATGCATACTTATGTTCATTGAGGAGTCGTGGTGTGGTGCTGCAGGTTAATGCACTGGACTGCAAAGTGGGTATAAATTGCAAGATTGGTGGTTCAAGCTCACCAACCACTCCTTAAAACCCCTATACAGGTCGCTGTGGTGGGAACTGACTCAATGGCATACAATAACAACATGTTCATCAAAGCACTATTCACAAGAGCAAAACAATAGAGACAGCCTAAGTGCCCATCAATGGAAGAGTGGATAACCAAACTGGTACATACACACAATGCAATACTACCCAACATCAAGGAGTAACGAAGACTTTGCAAAACACCTCATAACATGGATGAACCTGGAGGACATTATATGAGTGAAATTAATCAAAAAAGGACAAATATTATATAAGACCACCATTGTAAAAACTAAAGAAAAGGTTTCCATACTCAAAGAAACCTACCAGGGGTAGGACGGAAGGGAGAGTAATTCACTGGCTAGAGGGTGGTGGTTGTGTGCCTTGGAGTCGGTTCCAACTCACAGCGACCCTGTATAGGGTTCCCAAGGGCAGAAAGCCTCATCTTTCTCCCACAGAGTGGCTATTAGATTCGAACTGCTGACCTTAAGGTTAGCAGCCCAACTCATGACCACTATGCTACCAGAGATCCTAGAGAGTCAATACATGTTAATTCAGATGTTGGGGAAGGCAATATACAAGAGGAGGTAGGGTGCAGAAGAATGATGAAGACAGGTAAACACAAGGGGAGGTATGCAAGAGATAGAGGTAAACAGTGATATCCACTCAACCTTGGAACAACAGTGTTCTGTTTAGACACATGGACAGAGAAACAGACTGAATGGGTATGGCAGGAAGAATGGGATATGTATATTTATATCCACACAGAGAATTTATATCCACACAGAAAGCAGGATAACTGTTGTTGCATGGAGCGGATTGCAATCATTGAGATGAAACAAAGCATATGATTTGTTGAATGTAAAACTGATGATCTTGTCTATAAACCTTCACTCAATTCACAATTAAAAAAAAAAAAGTTATTTTATTTATAAATTTGGTAAGGTTTTCTTATTTCTAAGATGGGTTTTTTGGCTACTCAATTTAATTTTAAAAGATTTGAGGAAGTATAATAAAAATTTGAAGAAGTTAAATTTGTTTTTAAAGTTACAAAAAGAGAACTGACATTCAGAAATTACGTCAGGACTGGAGAATTAGAATTAAAAGTCTGTATAACCGTAACCCAAAAGAGTACATTTTTCAGCACGTAATTTTAATTTTTTTAAAAAGTCAGAGCACAGGTATAGTTGGCATAACAAGTCTTTCAATTCATTTATCCATTTATCATAATTTTGAACACTAACCCACTGTTGACAATTCAAACCCATCCAGAGGCACCTCAGAACACAGCCTGGCAATGTGCTTATAGCCTTGAAAACCCAATGCACACATGAAGCCTCCTCAAGATCAACAAACAACAACAACATGTCAGTCACCATTCTAGTCACAAAGAGTTAAGTTCCAAACAGACATCTTTATTTTAGGAACTTACATTCTAACCACAAAGACAAAACCATAAAAAGATCAAACCCACAACCATTAAATTGATTCTGACTCATAGCTACCCTTGTTGTTAAGTGCCGTTGAGACGGTTCCTATCCATAGCAACCCTGTATCGGGTTTCCAAGGAGCAGCTGGTGAGTTTGAACCACTGACCTTATGGTTCAAACAGACATTGCA